TTTACTTTGAATTGGATTTCCCGAGTATAAAAATACCACTCATGCGTATGTGATTGTTGGATTTTGATGACAAATAAAAGGGTTAATTGCTAAGTAAACTTTAATCTTTTTGCATTTAACAATTTTATCTTAATTTTTAGATAATTGCAATATAATCTCGACCTCAATTTACTTACTGCAAATTTGGATGCAGAGTGATTGATTTTAGGGATTTGTAGATTGATTTTGTGTCCAGTCTTCTATTGACACGGGTTTTTATGTCATCCACGTAGCAAGTTGACAATTTTCACGTATTTAATGTATATCCACGCACAAAGCCGAAAATTCCACGTCAATGTAAGCTACCTGTGATGAGTCTCCTCCTAGATCTGGAGGGAACCGGTAAATATGAGCTCCGATCTGTTCGAACCGCCTTCAAATCGACCAGTTTTTTGAAGGTCCAACCGATTTTAGGTTCGACTTGCAATAAGTAAATTGAGGTCAAGATTATATTGCAATTATCCAAAGATTGGGATAAAATTGCCAACCGCCTTAAATTTAATTCCTCTCCATTCTTCATGGTATTCAAATCCAATAATGATCCATTGAAGAGTATCACATTAATGTTCATAACCATAATCATGTTAGTGTAATTAGAGCCAATAATGATCCTTTTAGAATATCACATTAATCTTCATTCTAATGGAAGATGTGTAGTTTTTCCATTAATCCAATAATTCTTCAATGCAAATTATAAAAATGGATATAATTATCTATAGCATGGAAATGGTAAATGAGGATTATGCTTGGAGCGAAGACAAACATGCTTATCCAAACTTGTTCAAAGAACGTGAAAGAGAGAAAAAAGAGTGGTGAACAAAAAACTAGCTTCATTAGAGACTAAGTCCAAGATTTTCTCAAGGACATGAACTATGTGGCTGCCTAGCAACCCTCCCACTTATCTAAAACGGCATTCGCATGCACGAGTGGATTGAGGGAAGATATGAGAATGTAATGTATTGTTTTCTTTTAACGTTTGAAGGTGTCAATCAAGAAGCATGAGTTATAGATGCGGGTTCTAGTAAGAATGTGTGTATTAATAAGGAGATAATAAATAATATGATCAATATTGGAAGTCTTGTCATAGTACACTTACCAGATGGTAGTACCAAGTTAGTTTCAATGATAGGGAAAGTGAAGTTGTTCAAAAACATAAACTAATATGGGGTGTTATATATGCCATCCTTTAAATACAATTTATTGTGAGCAACAAAAGTATACGTAATGTCTACATTGATGTCTACCTTTCCAACATATTGATGCAGGGGAAGCATACCAGTAGGAAGAATAAATGAGAATTCAATCTCAGAACACGATAAAACACACTCAATATCTTGTTCAATCATCAACTGAGGAAAATAACCAAAGAGAGTCAATTTTTATATAAGGCCCCTAATCGCTAAACTTGAATTATTTACCAAGACTAAGTCAAATAACAAATAAATACTAAATGCTAGAAATAATAAGAATAGTAGATACTATCAAATATTTTTGTAATAATAAATATTTTGATACTCCGTCTGCACTATTCTCCTCGGATTGAGAAGGATTCACCCTCGAATCCGACCCGATCTCGCTCTCGGCAGTTGGAGTCGTACCCATGGCAGGAATCACCTGACGGTTTCCCTCTATGGACCAAAAAGATTGAATGACGCCCAACTATGCCAGCATGCCCAAGAATTCGTGGGACCACCTCACGCAGTAACACATCAACGGACCCTCGACGACAGATGCGGGAAAAAAATTCTTCAATGAAAAGAATAGCACCCTTGGGATGCCAAAAAACCAAACCCCACCAGCTTCATCCTATATAGAAAATAGATTAAGATCATGACCGATTCGACATTGGTCCTGCCTTTTAGCCTCCTCTTCGAATTCGAGATAAGCTTTAAGTTGTTCCGCACTACCCCATGCGATACCATTTATTCCTTGCAGCATTGTCTTATGCGAGTCTCCTCACCAATAAGTCCCAACAACTGACTCAAGCTTAACAACTAGTCTATTGATATGGCCAGCAGATTCAACATGAGG